TAGTATAATCTCTGGGTCCATCCATGTTGCTGCAAATGGTAATATTTCATTCTTTTTTACGGCTGAGTAATATTCCGTTTGTGTGTGTGTGTGTGTGTGTGTGTGTGTGTGTGTGTGTGTGTACACACACATACCCCACATCTTCTTTATCCATTCATCTGTTGATGTACACTTAGGTTGCTTCCATGTCTTGGCTACTGTGAATAGTGCTGTTATGGACATTGGGGTGCATGTATCTTTTCAAATTAGAGTTTTCATCTTTTCCCAGGAGTGGGATTGCTGAATCATATGGTAGCTCTATTTTTAGTTTTCTAAGGAACATCCATACTGTTCTCAACAGTGGCTGCACCAATATACATTCCCACCAGCAGTGTAGGAGGGGTCCCTGTTCTCCATTCAAAGTACTCTTTGTTTTTCCTTTGTAAAACTGGTCATGATTGTAAATCAAACAAGTGTTTGTCTAGCAGTTTTTTATATGTATTTTGTTTTTTACCCACAAATATTTGTATTTGAAAATAAAAGGACTTAAAAACTGTTATTTATTAATTTACATAGAGTAAATTTGACTTTTTTGGGGGTATACACTACTGTAAATTTTCACACATGTAGATTTGTGAAAACATCACCACAATTAGAATACAAGGAATAATTTTATCACCTGAGGAAACGCCCTTTTGCTATATGTTTAGGAAAGTCATCCTCCCCTTGACCCTTAACTCCTGGCAACCACTGATCTGTTCTCTTTCACTATAATTTTGTCTTTTTGAGAATGTCATATAAATGGAATCAGGCAGTATATATCCTTTTGAAGCATAATGTCTTTTAAATCCATCCAAGCTATTGTGTATGTTATTAGAATGTTATTATTTTATTGCTGAGTAGTATTCCATTGTATGGATGTACCACTTCAGCCATTGAAGGACATTTGGGTATCTAGCACATTTTTTTTTTTTTTTTTTTGGGGCCACACTGTGGGGCATGTAGGATCTTAGTTCCCTGACCAGGAATTGAACCTGCACCCCCTGCATTGGAAGGTGGAGTCTTAACCACTGGACCACGAGGGAAGTCCCTCTAGTACATTTTAATGACTTTCTCAGTAAGTTCCATGAGCATGACAGCCTGGACTTGTTAGCATGTGTCCTCTCTCTCTCTTTCCGTATCTTATTCTCTCTGTCTCTATGTGTGTGTATACAGACATTACACACATGCACCAACACACACACACCAACCATACATGGTGCTTTATTTTTGAACCATTTGTGTAAATTGCATCAATCATGGCCTTTTACTCCTAAATACTTCAGCTTTTAGTCGTCATGTCTTTGTAGTCTCTTTTACACTGTAATGTCATTTCCTGAGTCTTTCTCACTTACGACTAACATTTTTGAAAAATACAGTTCTACTCTGTCTCCTTCTCTCCCTTTCTTCCTCCCTTACTCTCTCCCAGAATGTTCCTCATTTGGGGTTTGTCTCATATTTCCTCATGGTTAGATCCAGGTTAATCATCCCTGGTTGGAATATTACATAAGCGATGTGTCCTTCTTGAAATGTCACATCTAGCAGTATGTGGTGTCTACCTGTTTCTCATTAATCATGTCAATTCTGGTCAAGGTGTTGTCCGATTTCTCCGCTGTGTGCTACTTTTTTTTTGTTTTTCCTGGCAACTGTTAAGCAATCTGTATTGAGTTACTGCTCCTCATTAAAATTTTCCCCTACATTGAGCAAAATGAAAATAATTTTTATTGTAAACCCCATTTCAAGTTTTTATTCTTTTGATTTTAGGATCTATAAGTAATTTTTAAGATCCATAATAAGATCAGTAACTGCTATTGTAAACCATTCTTTAGATGTAAACCCATCTTGATTGGTTTATACATAGACGCTATATGTCTAAATAATGCAGATGGCATATATGTAAAAGATGGTAATAGAACAGTTTTCCTCTTATTTTTGTATTTTTGTACTTGTGATGGAACTGCTGAATGGAAAGGAAATAGATATGTGTTGAAACTTAAGGCATGAGATTATTTAAAGATAGAGGTAGTACAAAAGAAGGTTTAGCAATAAGAATGAGAGAGAAATAATTTAGTGAGCCAATCTCCTGGAAAGAAAAGGGAGGATGCCTACTTAGGAGGCTTAGTGTTCAGAAATAGTTCTATTGAATATTAGTAGGAATGAGAAAAGGGATGCGAGGAACCATTTTGATGTATTATTCCAGAGCAAATTCAAAATGTCACAATTCAGTTGGGGAGAATTATTGGGCATTGGAGATATATGAAGATTTTATTAAACATGTTATAGAACTTAAAGCTCATGAGAGGATTTAAAATTACCTAAATAATACAGATTACTGTGAAATGAAAGTATTTAAAGCACAGGGAAATGTACACTCCGGTAAGTGCTGTGGGAAGCTGGGAAACTTGAGTTCTTATCTAAACCTTGAGTGGGCAATTTTGCCACTAATTAGTGATGTGCTCATAGCAAGAAAGATGAAGAGGTCTCTGGTTCCTCTCCCTGCATCAACTTTTTTCATGTTTTGATTTCTGCAGTCTTCTTTAGTAGTGATCACTTGTCTCTAAGAGCAGCACCTCCTAGATGAACAGATCTTTACTTCAAGATCTAGTAAGAATAAATATTTTTGTCTGCTTTGGATATTTCTAGAACAGAGGACAAAATTAATTAATGAATGTTCTGATCTTGTTACCTTGTAGTTTACCCTCTTTAAATTTTATTTTGATTTCAATGGACCAATTTCTCTGACTTTTTCTAGACTGTAGGAGAGTAAAAAGTTTTCCTTGACCCTCTTAGGGTCCCTGGCTGGGTCTGAAAATTAAACTGAGAAAGACAAGACAACAGGATTAAAGCATACAAATTTAATGTACATTTTACATGTCATGGGAGTCTTCATAAGGAAACGAAGACTCAGAGAAACTGTTAAACCTGTGTTTGATGTAGAATGGCAAGTCATGGAAAGATATGATAGGGTAAAGGGTATGAGGTAAGTATAATAAACCAGGGGAAATTTTACAAGTCCCATTTGTTTGGATTCTTCTGAGTCCTCTTGTATTTGGAGATAAGGATTCCTCCCATTATAGGGAGGGCAGTTCTCACTTGAGGGTTTAATGACTTCTTTCAGGGGACAAGGGTAGGGAGTATGGGGGTGTGGCTGGGGGTGGGAGAGGTCAGAGAGAGAACTTCCTGCTCATGCTGTATGCTCAGACTCCTTCAGCTTAAAGTATTCAGTATGCCAAGGTGTATATTTTGGGGTACCGTGTCCTGAACCCCATCATAATTCTTTAAGTTGTATGACACAGTTGAAAAAAATCTGTGAGACGTACCTCATTATGCTTTGTATGTTATTGAAAATATGAAACAAAATGAACTTGAAAAACCTACCTCTTGTTTCATCTTTACCTCTAATTTATGTCATTTCTCTGTCATTTGGTTTTTTGGTTGTTGTTTTCTAATTTCTGTGTTTATAAAATAGCAGTAACAATAGCCAGCCATAAAGGATAGCTGTGAGATTTGTAAGTCGTTTTGATAAAGATCTGTTGTCTAGTATGCACCTCTGATTTTTTATTGTAATTGAAAGAAAGTGCTGGGTATTATACAAAATATTAATATGGAAATAATTTATATTATTATCTGAAGTAGTTGTCTTGATGTGAAATAAAGCTGCTTTAATATCAAAAGGGAGTTATAGTATACAGTTATATATATTATTACTGATATTTTAAGTGCATTGTCAGGGTATTAGTAATATTAATAAATGTCAGAATTACAAAGTCTAAGCAGTCAGGTTTTTGGAAAATGACTAAACAATGTATAATATGTAGTTTATAGTCAACTCTTTAAATCCTTACTTTAAAATATTACATTATGCACAGATACATTTTTATTGTAAAAAAATTCGGGTTAATTCAGATGTATATATGGTCAAAAGTCATTAAAGGGCTTCCTTCACTCTCCTCAACTTTTCTTGTCAAAGATAACCTTTGTCAGTAACTTGGTATGCAACCTGATATCATTCTACAACTCAAGGCATATACCTTAATATATTAAGGTACTAATTGGTCGTATTCAATACTTTATATGCACCAATTTTTCTTAATTAAAAAAGAAGAGCACAGAAGAACAGCATCTGTCAAGTTCATTGTCCTAAATTACTTGTTTTTGCTACCTGTTTTTTTTTTAAAGGAATAAAGCAAAATTGAAGTCTCTACTGTATATTCAAAACAATACAAATATTCTATGCATTTAAAAAATTCACAAAAGTTACATTACTCTTGGGCTTCCCTGGTGGCGCAGTGGTTGAGAGTCCGCCTGCCGAAGCAGGGGACACAGGTTCGTGCCCCGGTCTGGGAAGATCCCACATGCCGCGGAGCGGCTAGGCCCGTGAGCCATGGCTGCTGAGCCTGTGCTCCGCAACAGGAGAGGCCACAACAGTGAGAGGCCCGTGTACCGCAAAAAAAAAAAAAAAAAAAAAAGTTACATTCCTCTATTTACATCTTACTTCAACTTGCTTTTTCCATTCGATGGCTATTTGTTGTTGATGTATACAGAGTTTGTTCGTTCTGAATATTTAAAATTTTCATGTTTAAAAAATACTTACTTTTAAAATGAAATATTTAGGTTTGTGCGTTAGGAAAACTCAAGTTAACTGCATTCTGAAAAAATAAGTTCCTGAGATTTCCTTTTAACAATACTTTTGAAACACAGATAACATTACTTCCTGTCTCTCAGTTTCCTGTATCCATGGCAACCTCTGTTTTACACACTGAGTGTGGAGGAACCAATGTGAAGAGTGGTGTTTCCTGAGCAAATTGTGACTTAAAAAAAAAAAAGAGGTGGAGGGGTGGAGGTCAACAGTGCCACAAAAGAAATGGAGTTTAGAAATGTCGCTCTTCAGATATAGAAAGAAAACCTTTACTTGAATCAGCTGAGTGTTAATAATATGAATTTCCTGTTCTTGGTAAGATTATTTATTTAAATATGAACTTTTAGCTGAAACAAAAAATAATTTGGTTTGTAAAAACCTGTAGTTTAAAGAGAGTTTAATTGTTCTGTAATGAATGTGTATAATTCCTAAATTATAATGTTGTTTAATTGATATTAGACTTTAAGTTGATAAAGGGGCATATTATATCCAAAGATCCTTATCCCTGCATCATCATTTGTCACTTTAGTTATAGTCAGTTGTAATATTTAAGTTAGCAAACATTTTATTTTGCAGTTCATTAAATTTGAATTATCATTTTGTCAAACAGTGGGTTAATGGTCTGGAGGTGCTAATAATTCTAGAACGTATTTCAGCCTTACTGTTTTATGCTATCACCATAGTATGATTCATGATATTTAGTATTATGGCTGATCCTAATAAAATAAAATAGAGTATAGAATTTCTAGTATTATAAAACTTTCATTTAAAGAACTTTTTGATGATTTAAAGTTTTACCTTTTCTTTTTATAGCCAATTTTGATATGAACAGAAAAACCAAGAACAGGGCTATGTGTGGAGTACGTTTTTCTCTGCCTTGCCTACGACTGTTTCTACTTGTTACCTGTTATCTTGTGTTACTATTCCATAAAGAGATACTTGGATGTTCGTCTGTTTGCCAGCTCTGCACTGGGAGACAAATTAACTGCCGTAACTTAGGCCTTTCAAGCATTCCTAAGAATTTTCCTGAAAGTACAGTTTTTCTATATCTGACTGGAAATAATATATCTCATATAAATGAAAGTGAATTAACTGGACTTCATTCTCTTGTAGCATTGTATTTAGATAATTCTAGCATTGTGTATGTGTATCCAAAAGCTTTTGTTCATTTGAGGCAGCTATATTTTCTATATCTGAATAATAATTTTATAAAACGCTTGGATCCTGGAATATTTGAGGGACTTTCCAATCTTCGTAATTTATATTTACAGTCTAATCAAGTATCTTTTGTTCCAAGAGGAGTATTTCATGATCTAGTTTCAGTTCAGTACTTAAATCTACAAAGAAATCGCCTCACTGTCCTCGGGAGTGGTACGTTTGTTGGTATGATTGCTCTTCGGATACTTGATTTATCAAACAATAAAATTTTGAGGATATCAGACTCAGGCTTTCAATACCTTGGAAACCTGGATTGTTTGTATCTAGAAGGTAATAATTTAACAAAAGTACCATCAAATGCTTTTGAAGTTCTTAAGAGTCTTAAAAGACTTTCTTTGTCTCATAACCATATTGAAGCAATACAGCCCTTTGCATTTAAAGGACTTGTCAGTTTGGAGTATCTCCTCCTGAAAAATTCAAGAATTAAAAATGTTACTAGGGATGGGTTTAGTGGAATTAGTAATCTTAAACATTTGATCTTAAGTCATAATGATTTAGAAAATTTAAATTCTGACACATTTAGCTTGTTAAAGAATTTAATTTATCTTAAGTTAGATAGAAACAGAATAATCAGCATTGATAATGATACATTTGAAAACATGGGAGCATCTTTGAAGATTCTTAACCTGTCATTTAATAATCTTACAGACTTACATCCAAGGGTCCTTAAGCCATTGTCTTCATTGACTCATCTTCAGGCAAATTCTAATCCTTGGGAATGTAACTGCAAACTATTGGGTCTTCGCGACTGGTTAGCATCTTCAGCCATTACTCTAAACATCTATTGTCAGAATCCCCCATCCATGCGTGGCAGAGCATTGCATTATATTAAATGGACTGACTTTACAAATTGCGTTACATCTTCAACAAATGTATCCAGAGCTTGGGCTATAAAATCTCTTCATATTCATCACAAGACCACTGCATTAATGATGGCCTGGCATAAAATAACCACAAATGGGAAACATTTGGAAAACACTGAGAGTGTTACTTTCTGGGAACGAATTCGTACTTCACCTGCCAGTAGATTTTTTCAAGAGAATACCTTTGGTAATCCATTAGAGGCTACTGCAGTGTTACCTGTGCAAATACAGCTTACTTCTCCTGTTAACTTGAACTTGGAAAAAAACAGTGCTCTACCGATTGATGCTGCTTCGGTGTCAGGGAAAACATCTCTAATTTGTACACAAGAAGTTGAAAAGTTGAATGAGGCTTTTGACATTTTGCTAGCTTTTTTTATTTTAGCTTGTGTTGTAATCGTTTTTTTGATCTACAAAGTTGTTCAGTTTAAACAAAAACTAAAGGCACCAGAAAACTCAGGGAAAAATAGACTTGAATACTACAGCTTTTATCAGTCAGCAAGGTATAATGTAACAGCTTCAATCTGTAACACTTCCCCAAATTCTCTAGAATGCCCTGGTTTGGAGCAGATTCGACTTCATAAACAAATTGTTCCTGAAAGTGAGGCACAGGTCATTCTCTTTGAACATTCTGCATTATAATTCAACTGAATATTGACTATAAGAAAACCTCAGTGTCATGGACATGAATAAAACTGAAGCATCCTTATAGAATTATAGACTTTATTTGGATATATAATGAATTATATGAGCTTAGCATTAATAAATATATGTTTTTAATAATTTGTGAATACTGTATTCATTCAGCAAATATTTTCTTTGATAATCACTGTATTAAGTAATTAATAATAACTAATGTTTCTGTGTACCAAGCAGTATGCTAAATACTTCATATATAACATTTAATCCTTAAAAAGCCTTATAAGGTAGTACTATCTACATTTTACAGGTAGGGAAATTTAGGCAGAGTGAGTTTAAGAAACTGTCTCAAATTCTCACAGCTTGTGACACTTTTTAGGTCTGTCTGATTCCAGAGCCCATGCTTTTAATTTTATACTATACTGCTGCCTGGGTGCTAGGGTTATAATTGTGAATAGCATGGACATGGTTCCTATTCTCAGTAGAACTTGAAATGTAGAGGAGGACACACATGGTTATTGTACAGTATGATAAATACTGCACTTGAAGGTACTCTCTTGTATAACATATGTGGAGGTGAGAGATAGCTTTATGAGAAAAGTGACATTGAAACTGGATTGCAAAGGCTAAGTAGAAATTAGCCCAGCGACAGAGAGCTGAGTAGTAGGTAGAGGGTTGAAGAAATAGAATACTGCTTTTCAGGAACTAAAATTCAGTCTAACTGGAGTTGTGAGTGGTATATTATGAGATTTGCAGCTAGAGAGAGAAATCAGGCAATGAAGGATGTTGTAATTTCATGTTTTTCCCTAGGGCAGCAGGGAGCCATGGAAGGATTTTAAGCATTGTTAAGGGAACCTAATGCTGCTGTTTGGCTACACATTCAGGGATTCTTTTTTTTTTTTTAATAAATAAATTTATTTATTTGTGGCTGCACTGGGTCTTCATTGCTGCATGCGGGGTTTCTCTAGTTGTGGTGAGCAGGGGCTACTCTTCATTGTGGTGCACAGGCTTCTCATTGCAGTGGCTTCTCTTGTTGCAGAGCACAGGCTCTAGGCACGTGGGCTTCAGTAGTTGTGGCTCGTGGGCTCTAGAGTGCAGGCTCAGTAGTTGTGGCGCACATGCTTAGTTGCTCCGGGGCATGTGGGATCTTCCCGGACCAGGGCTCGAACCCGTGTCCCCTGCATTGGCAGGCAGATTCTTAACCACTGAGCCACCAGGGAAGTCCCAAGGATTCTTTTAAACATTTAGCATTTGGCAAATACAAACTGAAAGTGCACTCTTTCTGGAAGGAACAAGACTAGAAACAGGATTAATCTGAATCTCCCATGCAGTAATCGCTGATTCATGGGAGAGATGCTGGAGCCCTGGACTGGGGTGGTGGCAGAGAGGATGGATGGATTCTAGAGCTACTTTGGAAGGTGCCTTGGTGATTGGCAGAGGCATGGCAGGTGAGGGAGAAATCAGATGTTAGGTTTTTGGAAAATATTTGCCCTTAGACTACAGGCAACATTTTAGAAAACTCTTGTTTATTTATAAACCACATAGAGAAGTAAATACACCTGTTTTAATCACTACTTAGGTCAAGAAATAGAACATTCAAACATAACATATATGTGGACATTTCTTGAACTTAAGAATTATAGAAATAACCAAGTGTTTAAGCTTTAAGGTGGAGGGGGACCCACATGTAATAAGGGCATTTTTACTCCATTTCTTACCCACACCACAACAAAAACAGTAAAATTTGCCATATTTGTTTTTAAGCATTGGCAAAATGGGAAAAGAAAGCCTGGAAACCTTTTACAAGGTTCTGAAAATGAGCTTTGATGTTAGGTCTTCCTACCAAGTTGGTCCTTCATGCACTTCCCCACATCCTATTGTACTTCTTGTTCTCCCTTGTTGGAAGGATCCCACTCCTTGCTTGTCTTCTGTTACTGGGCCAGACTGGAAAATGTATTTATGGACTTGTAATATGTTGTGCTGCTCTGGACTAAGAGGAAAGAGAACGGGGTACGTGAAACCAAAGAGAAGGTTGTTCTGTTTACCGGTTAGACTTTGTTTTTATGCATCGCCTACTGAATAGTAACTTAATTTTTTTCCTCCTGAGAAGGCCCATTTTATTTCTCATTAAAACTTTTTCTTTTCTGTTATTGGACTTGCTGATAAGGCCTTAGGTGAGAGGGGAGGGATATGCATCAGTTGTCTCAAATTATTATCTAGTTTGTTATTGATTTCACAGTTATGGAGCAATATTAACAAGTGATGGGCCCATGGTTTTCAGTATTGTACTGTCTCAAGTATAGTTTTTTAAAAGTGCCCTCTATCTCTAGTCATCACTCTACTGAAGTTGGTAGGCTCTTGTGGCTGCATACTTTAATGTGAGAAGCCTTGTGGGTTAAAAGATAAATATGGAGAAAGCAGCATGAATGAAAGGAATGTATAGTATGCGTTCTACTGGTCCAAATGTGCCTTGTTTCATTGTTCCTGACTTTTGAGGCATCATGTGACATAGTAGAGGGCACTATATTTTAGTGGAAAGTAGTTTTTTGATTGTCAATAGTGTGTAATTGTAATATACAGTACTTTCCTTTTATCTCCGTGTCTTCCCGTATGTCTTGAGTTTCCAGTACCTGAGCATAAACCCTTGCCTGTTCTTAGTTTGGATATTGGCTTTGGAAAATCTAACTTTTTGCCAGATACCTTCTCTGATACTCTTCCTAGTGTTAATTCTATTCTTACTACATAAGTTCACATTTTCTTTGTATTTTGTTTGCGGTCCCATGGAGCAAATATTTTTATGTTCTAGTTCAGTTTCCTGATGTTTTGGCTTTCAGAACCCCTTTTCTTAAATCATCTGCTTCTCATCTATGCAAGCCTCCTAAGGCATTGTCTCCTAGAATGGGGACCTGTGCGATAAAAGAAGAAAATATGTATGGTCTCTACCCCTGATTCTTGGCACAGAGCTCCTGAAACCCTTGTAATTTCCTAAGTGATAAGAACATTAGGAGCATCTTTTGTTCTGACGAGGCAGCTCTGGGGTGGACTCCTAGACTGAGGTCACCAGAGACACTGAGCCATGATTAGAGGCTTGGAATTTTCAGCTCCAAGCCCCATCTTCCACAGAGGGGAGATGAGCTGGAAATGGAGTTAATAATTGAGTATGTATGTAAGGAATTCTCCATAAAATCTCAATAGTAGGGTGTTCAAGGAGCTTCCAGATGGGGGAACAGATCCACATCGGAGGGGTGATATGCCCCACCTCCACAGGGACCAAAGCACCTGTGCTCAGGACCCTCCCAGACCTTGCCCTCTGTAGCTCTTCATCTGGCTATTCATCTGTATTCTTTATCATATATTTTAGTAAACTGGTAAACATGTTTCCCTGAATTCTGTGATTTCTCTGGCAAATTAGTTAACCTAGGGAGGAGTCATTGGAACCTTTGGCATCTGAGGGACTTGGGGGGTGGCTCAGTCTTGTGGGTCTGAGACCTTAACCTGTGGGATCTGACATTATCTCCAGGGAGATAGTGTTAGAATTGAGTGAAATTGTAGGTCATCCAGCGGGTGTCACAGAGAATGGCATGTTGGGAAAATCTTCCACACATTTGGTGACCAGAAGTAAAGTGTGCTGTGAGTAAAGAAGACTCACAGAAGAGAAACATAGTAGGGAAGGACAGGGTTTCTCCCTACTCGGGAAGGAAAAATCTGAGTTTTTTTCCATTCAGGACCATACCCTCCTGGAGTTTCATTCCTACTGTAAATACAACTAACCAGGTAAATTCAGGCAATAGCATTCTTAGCAGATGGAATCCCTCCATGGAAGTCCTAAGACTAAGAAAGTGTTTGTCAAAAAGAAGGCTGGTATAGCTGGAGAGTAGAATGAAAAGTTAGGTGAGGTCAGAGAGAGGTAGGCAGCAACCAGGTCAGATGGGGCTGAGTAAACCATGATTAGGAGTTTGGATTTTTATGTGTAATGGGAAGTTACTGAAAGGTTAAACCCTTACTTACTTTATTTATTAAAAAATTTTTAACATCTTTATTGGAGTATAATTGCTTTACAATGTTGTGTTAGTTTCTGCTGTATAACAAAGTGAATCAGCTATACGTATACATGTATCCCCATATCTCCTCCCTCTTGCATCTCCCTCCCATCCTCCCTATCCCACCCCTGTAGGTGGACACAAAGCACCGAGCTGATCTCCCTGTACTATGAGGCTGCTTCCCACTAGCTATCTGTTTTACATTCGGTAGTGTATATATGTCAGTGCCACTCTCTCACTTCGTCCCAGCTTACCCTTCTCCCTCCCCGTGTCCTCAAGTCCATTCTCTACGTCTGCGTCTTTATTCCTGTCCTGCCCCTAGGTTCTTAAGAACCATTTTTTTTTTTTAGATTCCATATATATGTGTTAGCATGTGTAAAACACTTACTTTAAAGCAAGCGAGACATGTTCAGATTTTGCAAAAGAGCACTGTGTAGAGAATGAATTAGAAGAAGCAAAGAGTGGAAGGGTCCCTATGTGGGAAGTTATGCAGTAGTTCAAAGTAGAGACAGAATTGACTTGCAGCACACTGTTCACAGCAGGAATATAGAGAAGTCAAAAAATTTCATAGATAAATGTGACGGAATTTGATGATAAATCGGATTTTTGAAGGGTAGATGAGAAGAAAGGTCAAAACTGAATCCCAGGTTCTGGCCTGAGTCACTGGGTGCTTAGAATTGCTCTGTAGTCAGATAAGGACAACTGGAAGAGAGCCTGATTTTGATTTTCTATCTTGTTTTGCTTTGTTTTTGTTGGGAAGGCACTCAAAAGTTTGGGGTTGGCTACCTTAAGTTAGAGATGCTTGTGAGACTGCCAAGAGTGGATGAGGAGGATGTAGATGTAATAGGGTTCCAAAGCTCAGAGAGGTCATTGTGAGTGCTAGCAGTATTTAGGAGGAATTTGGCATTGTGCCTGAACGAGGCAGGTCTAAATAGCAGGCATTTAACTCATTTTCCCTATAAGAAAAATCTACATAAGGTTTTTGGTCAGCTTGAATGTGTTGTATTTACAAAGCTGTAACAAAATAGTCAAATGCCTATTATATTGTTAGTTTAGTTACATATACATATTTTAAAATAATGTAAATAGAGAATTTTTTCCCCT